GTGGCGGTGGGGGGAGGGGGAGGGGGCGGGGCTGAGCCGGTGGGGGGAGGGGCCCCGCTGGCCTGGAGGCGGAGCTGAAAAATAATGGGGGGGGGAGGGTCAGCGTTGCCCTTTTAAGGGTTAACCCATCCCCCTCCCCCCCATCTTCCGGGCTGGGAGGCCACGCCCCCATTGTGGCCACTCCCCCTTTTCATTGGCCACACCCCTTAATTACCCACGCCCCTCCCATGGTGGGTCCCACCTTGGGGGTGGCGTTGCCCCTTTAGGACCACTCCCTGTGTGGTCCCACCCCCTGAAACTCCAGTAGCCAATCAGCAGCTTGGCCACGCCCACTCTCTTAAAGAGGCTACACCCACCCTCTTAAAGGGGTCATGCCCTTTATGGGTGGGGCCCACCATGGGATGGCATTGCCCTTTTAAGCCCCCCCTTCAAAATACTAAGGGAAACCCCTCCAAGGTCTGGCCCCGCCCCGTTCTCCCTTAAAGGGGCCACACCCTTAGAGAACTTCTGCTCTTAAAAGGGCAATGAACGTCTCCACTGGTGGGGCCCACCGGTGCTCCTTAAATTTAAGCCCCGCCCCCTCCTCTCTTAAAGGGGCTCTACCACTCTTAAAGTGGCAATGCCTTTTCTTAAAGGGGCCACGTCCTTTTTAAAGGGGCCAAAGCTCTCTTAAAGGGGCAATACTTACCTTTAAAGGGGCAACAGTGCTCTTAAAGGGGCAACACCTCATTTAGTGGGGCCACACCCCTCTTAAACTGGCAACAACTCTTTTAAAGGGGCAACACCCCCTCTTAAAGGGGAACACCCCCCCTAGGAGTTACACTCCCTCTTAAAAGGATAAACAACCCCTCTTAAAGGGGCAATACCCCCTCTTAAAGAGACCACACCCCTCTTAAATAGGCCACACTCCTGTTAAAGGGGCCACACCCCTTTTAAAGGGGTAACACCCCGCTTAGGGGATAACATTCCCTCTTAAAAGGGTTAACAACCCTCTTAAAGGGGCAACAACCCCCTTAAAGGGCCAACACCCCTCTTAAAGGGGTCACACTCCTCTTAAAGGGGCCACGCCCCTTTTAAAGGGGCAACACCCCCCTTAGGGGAGAACATTCCCTCTTAAAAGGGTTAACAACCCTCTTAAAGGGGTAACACCACCCTTAAAGGGCCAACACCCCTCTTAAAGGGACCACACCCCTCTTAAATGGCCACACACCTTTTAAAGGGGCAACACCCCCCTTAGGGGATAACATTCCCTCTTAAAGGGGCAACACCCCCCTTAAAGGGCCAAGACCTCTCTTAAAGGGACCACACCCCTCTTAAAGGGACCACACCCCTCTTAAAGGCACCACAGTGTTCTTAAAGGGGCAACACTCCCTCTTAAAGGGACCACACCCCTTTTACATAGGTAACACCCCCCTTAAAGGGGCCACACCCCCTTAAACCACCCCCCCACCCTTCTTAAAGGGGCAACGCCAACAAGCGGGACCGGGTGTTAAAAGGCCACTCCCTCCCCCCCCCCACGACCACACCCACCCCCTCAGGCCACGCCCACCTTGTTGATCTCGGCCTGCACCTCCCTGAGCTTCCTCTTGTAGCGCTGCACGTCCCCCTTGAGCTGGTGGTTGTGGTTCTGCAGGGAGCTGATCAGGTGACGCATCTCCCGGTTGATGGGGCCTGGGGGGGGAGGGGAGGGGTTCAGGTGAGGGGGGAGGGGCTGGGGGGGGACCCTCTGAGC